TATAATGTAATCAATTTAACTCATTTTACTTATCATCATTCTTGATTTGGAGTTAATAATTTCTTAAGAAATTTTTTTCATCGTATTTAAATCAGATTAAAATTAAGATTTAATTTGTTCAAATAAATCATTTTTTGATAAAAGTTCATAGTTGAAGTCTTATTAAACAGAAATTAATTGTTAATTATGATCAAATTTAAATTTCTCAATTATTTTATTTTAATCTGTAGATAAATAATTAAATAGATGAATTTCTTCTAATATTTTTGAATTATCTTATTTTACATTTCTAATTCAATTTACAAGATATTTCGATATTTTTGTAGCTGATTAGATTCTATTAAATAATAATCAATTTTCTATGTAGCTGAGTCCAACCTAAGCGTTATATTGTCAATTTCCTAATATTAAGTAGTTTATCATTCTTAAGATCTCATTTCGAACGATTTTATATTACCTAGTAATTATTATAATTGTTCTTTTTTATTCTAAAATAAAAGTATATTATTCTATAGTTTTCTCGTCTTGATTCAAAATGAATATATTTCTCTCCTATTATTCTTATTAATAAAACCTCCTAAAATTGTTTTTCAATTTAGACGCATTAAATTCTAAAATTTCAATTACATTTTCCTTACTAATTATTTAAGAGTTGAATTAATTAATTTTTTTTGTCAGCTGTTCAATAACATTGTTTTTTTCAATAATTTTATTATTAAACTTTCCATTTCAGTTGTAAGGAAAGCAATTTAATTTTCTAAGTTCCAATTGATTGATTATTTTTTTATTTATGAAGTTAAGTACTATACTTAATCATCAGAATGTTAAAATTAAGTTGTGTATATAGTTTTTATTATGTAAGATATTCAATCTCAGATTTGTGATTAATTTATGATTCTTCATATAATTTTTTAATGTTATCTATCAGTAAATGTTCGTTTTTTTTGTTTTTGACTTGTAAATGTCTAATCAATTTCTTATTGAAGTTCAAAAATTCGTAGATGTTATTGCTGGTTCTCTTAGTTTAATTATTTGATATGCGATTCAAGTGCTTAATAGCTCTTATCTGTAGAGAGCCTAACTTTTCTTGTCTCAATGATTGGTCTATAAGTAGTAGTTGTAATTATTGTAGTTTTTGGCCTTGTAGAATATTTGATTATTTATGCGACTCTACTAGTTACTGATATATCAGCTCTTTATTCTCTTATATTCAAGTGGGGAGAACTTAATAGTCTAGTTGTTGTGATTAATGATAAAAGGATGATTTCTATGTTGGAAATTATGCTCTCATAATTCTTGATATCATTAAAATTAAAAAATAAATAACAAATTAAGAATTCATTCAATAAGACTGAAATATTTTAGAATTTATTATTATATAGTTAAATATATATTTTATTAATCAAACAATTTAGTTTCTATTGCAAAAAAGTATTTAACATAAGAAATTTCTAAACTTCTGATTTCTTTTTGGATTCTTTTATTAGAAATGAAAATTGTTATAAAATTCATTTTTTTCTTTGACTATTTTGCTAATTATAATATAGTTAAGAAATTCATTTTCTTTTATTTAATTTTTATTATCTAAAATTGAATAAATTCTTTTAGATGTTTTGATACAAGATGACATTGCAATTCTAGTAACAGATTTTGATATCAAATTCATAAAATTTAAGATTATATATTTAAATTAATTCATGTTAGAAAATCATTTCATTTTTTCTTTTGAAATTGCTCAAAAATATCTGTAATTTTCGATAAATAGAGGATTAACTTAAGGCTTTCCATGAACATATTCTCCTTCAAATGATCATTAATTTATCCTTTTTTATTTCTACACAATTAGCAAATTTAAAAAAAATAACTCAATTCTTGTATCCTTATAATATTAATAAAATAATTTCTTTTTAACATAAAATGAGAAAGTCTGATACAATCATAATAAAATAACAAAATTAGTTAATAAAATTTCAAGTTTTAAATTCTTTACAGATTCGTACAAATGTGAGTACTTTTATTTTATAGATTAATAGTACAGTAAAAGATAATTTAAAACCTAATTATTGAAGGTGCCTAATAAGTTACCCTTGTGTTGAATTTATTGTTATACTGCTCACTATATCAATTCTGTAAAAAAGATTTAAAAAATTGTCATTTTTTCTTCGCCACTTTGCCGCATACATTTTATTGATTATGCTCTCTCTTTCTTAAGATTCTCCTGAACAAGCAAAAACCCATTTGACATTTATGAAAATTATTTTACATTTGAAAAATTGTAATCAATTTTTTCCCTTACATCGACATTTCAACATAGAGTTCTTATTCATCTACAAGAATTTTGCTTAAACTTTTGTTCTTCTGTCAACTCTACTATTTGAAGTCTGCCATTGTATCTATCTAGAAAACGAGATAACTGCTTGATATGAGATTTTGAAAGTAATTGAATATTTCTTACACCTATCCTGTAACTTTCCACCAGTCTAGTGTATGTTGTTTATTCTTTTAAGTGATATTCATATCCTCTTCCGCTTATTTAACTGAATTTAAAATGGAGTGGAATGAGTCAAATCGATANCAAACAATTTAGTTTCTATTGCAAAAAAGTATTTAACATAAGAAATTTCTAAACTTCTGATTTCTTTTTGGATTCTTTTATTAGAAATGAAAATTGTTATAAAATTCATTTTTTTCTTTGACTATTTTGCTAATTATAATATAGTTAAGAAATTCATTTTCTTTTATTTAATTTTTATTATCTAAAATTGAATAAATTCTTTTAGATGTTTTGATACAAGATGACATTGCAATTCTAGTAACAGATTTTGATATCAAATTCATAAAATTTAAGATTATATATTTAAATTAATTCATGTTAGAAAATCATTTCATTTTTTCTTTTGAAATTGCTCAAAAATATCTGTAATTTTCGATAAATAGAGGATTAACTTAAGGCTTTCCATGAACATATTCTCCTTCAAATGATCATTAATTTATCCTTTTTTATTTCTACACAATTAGCAAATTTAAAAAAAATAACTCAATTCTTGTATCCTTATAATATTAATAAAATAATTTCTTTTTAACATAAAATGAGAAAGTCTGATACAATCATAATAAAATAACAAAATTAGTTAATAAAATTTCAAGTTTTAAATTCTTTACAGATTCGTACAAATGTGAGTACTTTTATTTTATAGATTAATAGTACAGTAAAAGATAATTTAAAACCTAATTATTGAAGGTGCCTAATAAGTTACCCTTGTGTTGAATTTATTGTTATACTGCTCACTATATCAATTCTGTAAAAAAGATTTAAAAAATTGTCATTTTTTCTTCGCCACTTTGCCGCATACATTTTATTGATTATGCTCTCTCTTTCTTAAGATTCTCCTGAACAAGCAAAAACCCATTTGACATTTATGAAAATTATTTTACATTTGAAAAATTGTAATCAATTTTTTCCCTTACATCGACATTTCAACATAGAGTTCTTATTCATCTACAAGAATTTTGCTTAAACTTTTGTTCTTCTGTCAACTCTACTATTTGAAGTCTGCCATTGTATCTATCTAGAAAACGAGATAACTGCTTGATATGAGATTTTGAAAGTAATTGAATATTTCTTACACCTATCCTGTAACTTTCCACCAGTCTAGTGTATGTTGTTTATTCTTTTAAGTGATATTCATATCCTCTTCCGCTTATTTAACTGAATTTAAAATGGAGTGGAATGAGTCAAATCGATACTACACATCGGTTTCTTAGTTGATCATATCTTTAAAAGCAGGGATGATTAAAGTTGCAATATCTTTCCCAATCTAGTCTATTTGAAATTTGCTAGGTACTTATTTAGTCTATGAGGAATACTATAATTGATGTGGCTACGATTAATGGACCTCCTATTTATTCTTATGTGCAGAATCATCGCTTTTTTATTACATTATTAAAATAAATTATTAAATTCATTTTTTCGTAATTAATTGAGTTTCTTTCATCTATATATGCAAAAGTAAAATATAAAAATAAAAAATTAACAACTTTTAGAAATTATGAATTTTTTTTTCAATACTATTTATTAACCAAAAACTTGATTAATTATGATTCGTCATCTAAAATTTGAAAGAAAACTGTTCAGATAATAGTCTTTTCTATTGCATTTAAGGAGAACATATGAATCTATTTCCATTAATAAAACCTTTATTTTGTATTATTAAAAGATTCTAACTAACAAAAAGTGGATTAGTCTAATATTATCAGTAATTTATACATAAAGATTATTTTTGAAATCTATAAATTAATTGAAATATCTTTAAAAGAGAATGGAAAAAAACATTCAAAAAACTTTGTTTACAAATATTTATATAGCAAACTTTTGATGATAATCATTTCAACTAATTTTATGATTAACAAAATCTATTATAATATTTGATTTAGGATTAAGTTGAAGCATAATTAAAAAAGGTTTCATATAGATCTAACATAAATTATACAATTTAAATCATCTGAGATTAATTTTGAAAACTTGATATTAGAATTAGAGTAGCAATTGGAAATTTCTCTTTAATTTCCCTATCATTTTTATAAATTATTTAGAATTAGATAATTAAGTACTTACTGAAAATATTGTAGAACTATGCAAACAGAGTTCTTAGGAAATTTAGAGTGAAGAATCTGATATTTTAAAGTAGTTTTAAGAAATATTTCAAGAATCAAATGAAAAAAAATCAAAAATCGCAACCACATACATCAATAGTTATTTTTCAACTCAGCTATTTATTAAACTGAGTGAATAGCAATTCTTGTATTAATTGGGTTTTTGTGAATAAAAGAATGTTAATTGAGCAATTACAAATAATTAAGAAATTATTTAAAAACTTAAAGATAAAGTACTTGGTCTGTTAATATAAATCATTTTATTTAAATTGAAGAATTTTGATATTCTTATTTATATATTTTAGGTGTTATAGAGAAAAATAAAGATCTTGATGAATCATAACATAAAAATTAGAAATGAGTATTGGAACTTTACTAAGAACAGAGAAAAAATCAAATTCGCTTTATAAATGGAAGGAAGAATATAAAAATTTGTGAATTGAACTATGTTCCCTTTCTTTAGATTAGAAAAAAAAATTATAAAGCTCTACATCATTTAAACCCAAAGATATTTACTTTAAGTTGTTAAATATAGATTTCACTTTTGTTATATTGCAAAAACTTTCTTGGGAGCAAGAAATTAATTCCAGATAAATAGATTAATTATTCTCTCACATGATAGAATTGACAGCTTATATTTTAGTACAATTTTTTACTTATCGTAGTGCTATTGGTACCAAATATATTAATTAATTCTGTTTGTAAGCCCTTTTAAGATATAAATAAGGAAGAAATTGGGCAGATTAAGATAAAGATAATTTTGATCTTATCAATAGTAAGAATATAATTGTGTATTTTAAAAAGGAATTATAAGTATTTTTAAAGGAAAATTCATTATTATTCCTAACAAATATGTTAACTATTGAGTAAAAGAGGATCTAAATAAAAATAACATTAATATTCTAGCTATATATAAACACTAAATATAATGGCGCTTTGAAATAAAATCTTAAGAATCACTAGAATAAAAAATAAAAAATGGAGGAAATATAAGATAGAATAATGGAAAGCCATTATTAATTTGTAAAAACTATTCTCTTTACATAATTTGTGCATTACTTTGATGATTTTGTTAAGGGTCCTTGATCAGTAACATTTATGTACACATTAATCAAAAACTAAATGTTAAAAAGCAGATTATACATGGGATTTAGCAATAAATTTTTTTGTATCAAAGTTAAATAATTATCTTATATCTACACCTTGATTATTATTTCGAATTTTTCTTTCAAAATTGCCCTTGAGAAAATTATTTGGCAAAACAATGTAAAATTTACAATTTAGTGGATCGATTTTTTTAAACCGGTATGTTATTTTTTGTAATATTATAATATTTATATTATCAATAAGTTTCTTTATCATCAAGATTGAATAGGTATTATTTAATTAAATAATATAAAAAATATAAAGAATTTAACTCTATAAGTTTTATATTGCCTCTTATTCTTTTTTAATTTATAGTTTCATTTATTTAAAATGAGAGAAATCAAAAGTAAAACACTTTCTATATGCCCTTTATAAAGCCATGAGTATGCTTCTACATCTCTCATCAGAAACGAAATGATATGATCTATTATTACTTCTAACATTTTATTAATGGGGCAATTATGAAAGCATATTTAGATATTTGATGATTAACAATAAACTGATCGCAAAAAGCCCAAGATAGGAACCACAGTAATAATTATATTGTTACAATTAGAATTATTCCTCAAATAAAAGCTGGAAGCCTTCGAAGAATACTTTTTTCATTGTTTTATTTGACAGTTACGATGACTAAGCATTAATTTATTTAGGGGTCCTGAATATTCCTAAGACATATTCTATCATAGTGTTGGATTCATTATTAATTAAATTGTTTATAAACGTGCTAAATCAACTCAACAAATAAATATTCTATCTAAGAGGAGGATAGTGTGGAATTTCAGTTTCTAATGTTGCTCAACATCAACAAAATCAATAAGAATGAATAAAGTTTTAAGAAGTTATACAATTTAGTATTAGATGGGATTAGACGTTTATTGATAAGCTTTTAGACTTACATCAGATCAGATTCCTTTAAATGTTCGAACTTATTATAGAGATTTATAAAATGTGAAACCTAAAATTCTTTTCTGGAAATTTGCGATGAGTTACAAATGGAGATTGGCAAGGAATGATTTAATTAAAAATTAAATCGAACTATTTCTTTTCTTAACCAAAACTTCTTTTGAGATTGCTCCAATAATAGTAAAGAAAATAAAAGGCATAATAAGTTCTATAATAAAATAAGCCCTGATATTGAGCTACTTGAATCATTATTTAAGGTAACCTGCCTACTTTACAAAATGCAAGATATTTCAAAAAAGCCAAAATAATATAAAGTTTTTTATCAAATCGATATGTTGTTATGGGAGGTAATAAATTATTATAAAAAAAAAAAATATAAAAGTCTATAAGAGATAATTTTACAATTGAAGCAATATATGAAACTATTGTTAAATTTTCAAAAAACTGGAGAGAGCATTATATATGGATCTAAATGATTCGTAAAAGATTAATCTTTAATCGATTACTAACAAAAAAAAATTAATTAAGCTGAATAACTCTTTAAATTTTGGGGAAAAGTCAATAAGTTAGATTTGGAAGGATTATCTTAATCAAGTACTATTAGTATAAATAAATCATAGTAATGATTTAGCGGTCATCTAACTTAATTAACTTAAAATAATAAAATAATGCAAATTGATAGACGAATGTTAGATGATAGTTTCAAAGGATGGGAAGACTTTCTCATACTTAAAAAATTGTAATGAATGAATACATTGGAAATACACTATATACATTCAGTTCATATCTTAAACATAAATTAGATTTATTTAGAGAGGATTCCTAAAAATAAGTAGAATTTTTGACTATCGAGAAAATGTAAAAGCTTTTATATTTTCTTGTTTCAAATACATTAATAAATAAAAAAAAAATGATGAGACACTAGGAGAAGTTATTAAAATCTAGAAGTAAATTGATGGAAGATGAGTAAGTTAATAAAAGGATATTATAATGCGCTGTTAATTCTCAAATCAAAAAGCTAATTTGTAATTTAGAAGAATATTTAACAAATACACAATATTTTTTTAAAAATTGTTAAACTTAATTAGAATAATAATTACTTTCAGGCTGAATAATTCAAATAGGAAAAGATAAATGAATTGAATAATTAATCATAACTTAAATATTTGATGAGATTATTCGAATAAATATTATTATAAGCAATTTAGGAAATTAAAGATAAAAAACGAAACCCATTCTACTTGCAAAATTGCTAAACCGATTACATAAACTGCTTTAGCAATAGATTTTGTGGCATTCCAAAATTTAAATCTGCATAACTTTAAAAGGGTTTGGCCAGGACTGGCAATAATACTGACCCTAGGACGCCAGTATTATGGTCGGGGCCATGGAAAAAAGCTGAATTTTGTCAATCCCCAAATCCAATCCCCTGTTTTGAATAGGGGAATGGGATTTTATCCTTGTTTGTAAATCCCTTACGCCGTTTTAAAGTTGGTAATAAAAGTCATATAATAATTTTTCACAAAAAAATATAATTTTAAAAAATAAAGTTTTTGAATAAAAATTTATTGATAAATTACTTATAGTGAACTCCAACTTGTACAATAATCTAACATTTGAGGTAAAAATTTGGTACTGTAAAAATACTATGATAATGAGCTTTTTGTAACAATTTTTATCAAATTTTGTTGAATTTAGACAACTTTTTCTATTGAAATTAGAAAATAGACTTTTTTTTTTTACAATTTTAAGTCAATTTTATTTTTGTAAAAACATGCAGGAATAAGTAGAAATACTAAATAATAGTTTATATTTTATAAATTCAGCATTACAAGTTTAATAATTCTAACTAAAATTCGATAACAAACAATTTTTACAAAAAAATTCATTTATAAACAAGTAGAACAAAATTACAATAAAAAGGAAACACTTCATTTAGTATTTTATTTACTTTAGAAAATTTTCTCCAAACCCTGCTTTATTTGTGAAGAATTTAATAAATTAGCTATTGGATAGTTTTCAAAATGTTTAAATGTTTATTATAATTATCATATTCCTTCTTTCTTCTAAAACTCTGCATCTATTACAGGGTTTGGGTTTGGGTTTGGGTTTGGGGTTGGGTTTGGGTTTGGGTTTGGG